GATGATGAGGATGACGAGGATGAGGAGGAGGAAGATGAGGATGGTGATGATGATGATGATGATGATGATGACGATGACGATGACGATGATGATGATGATGATGATGAGGATGACGAGAGATGATGATGATGTTGATGATGATGATGATGATGACGATGACGATGATGATGCTGATGATGATGATGATGAGGATGACGAGGATGAGGATGATGATGATGAGGAGGAGGAGGATGAGGATGATGATGATGATGACGATGACGATGACGATGACGATGATGAGGATGACGAGGATGAGGATGAGGATGAGGATGATGATGAGGAGGAGGAAGATGAGGATGGCGATGGTGATGATGATGATGATGATGGTGATGATGATGATGATGGTGATGATGGTGATGATGATGGTGATGATGATGATGATGGTGATTGTGATGATGATGATGATGAGGATGAGGATGAGGATGAGGATGAGGATGAGGATGAGGATGAGGATGAGGATGATGATGAGGATAAGGATGAGGACGATGATGATGAGATGATGAGATGATGGGGATGATGAGGATGATGAGGATGATGAGGATGATGATGATGATGATGAGGAGGATGATGAGGACGATGAGGATGATGAGGATGCGGATGATGATGATGATGATGAGGATGAGGATGATGATGATGACGACGACGACGACGAGGATGATGATGATGATGATGATGATGATGATGATGCTGGCGCTGGTGACCGCTGGCGTGCTGCTTCTGCTGGTGCTGATGCTGATGCAGGTGCTGCTGCTGGCGATGAAGATCATGATGCTATTGACGATGCGACGGAAGAGTAACCGTCATCAATACATCTCGCATCAGCATCACCGGTGATCAGACAGAGCTAGAGCATCCACAAACCAAATGTGACTCTGTGATGATGCTACTTGCATTGCTACCGTTGTTGCCTCAAACATGTGTCAGCCGGTGCCTGGAAGACCACCTTCTCCTGCTAGCCTACACGGAACAAGCGCAAGCCGGGGCTTGTGAAGGGAGGCTCTGCAGACACCCTGGGCGACGCCGTGCCTGTGACTAGCCTGTACCAAGAACTGCCGCATCAGTGTGGGGTCGATCAACTTCATCTCCTCCCAGTGGTATTGGGCATGACTTGCCAACTTCAACGCAAGAACTGGTGCCGCTATCCACTCACACTTTTGGCGAGACTCTTCATGGGTACAAGCCCGGCCGGTCTCCTGCACTTCTAAGCTGCCGAGGAAGGCATTGAGGGACGGCGTCCCGCGTTCCATGGCTTTCCGGAGCCTCGGGTCCAAGCATTTCAAACCTACCTTGGGAAGCCCACACCTGTTGGATTCCTTGCAGTGCACTAAAAGGATACTTGAAGGGTACTTGAAGGGTACAAAACGTACTGTAAGGAAATGAAAGGGTACTATCTCGTACTGTCAAGGTTACTTCAGAGGCACTGTAAGGGTACTATAATGCTATAAGGATGCGAAAGGCGGGCATCCACGGCATCTTCTTCGTCATCAATCAAGACTCACCATTGTCGTCGTCAGTCCTCACCATCACCATCATCCCTGGAAAGAATCCTTGGACCTTGCGACAGGACCGTGTGCAAGCAGATAAAACATGAACGAAGGCTGATGCAGCCATCACGCCAGCAGAGCATGAGCATCTAGCGGCTAGCCATACAAGATGGAGGCTGCAAACCAATTTTGTGACTCCATGCCTCATGGTGCGCACATGGCCCGCAAGACAGTGCACAACTGACTTGCAGATTCATCTGCGCTTTTAGAGTACAGCGACTCGTGCGCGTGGCCCAGTGCTTCAGCGAAACGAATGCTGCGCAAAACTCTTCAAACATTTCAAACATCATGGAGGCTGAAATGGGCTGTGTTCCGGAACAAATCAACTATTCGGTTTGCGCAGCAGCTGGGCGATCCTCATCAGGGTACGCTTCCAAACATTTTCTGAGCATGTCAACTCCGTTAGGACTGCCTTCTGCAAGTGCGAATGTGTCGTGTGCAGCTTGGTGAGGAAGACCTCAATGCTCAGCAGCGGCATGTCTTTCTTCGACTTGCATTGCTCGCGAATGACCTGATCAACCATGCCGAAGTCTGCAACACCGTCCTTGCCAAGGAACGCATAGCAGGTGCACAAGACCTCTTCCTGGAGGAGGGAATCGAGCTTTCGGAACTTCCGAGTCCCGTCATCACACGAAAGTACCCCACTTCCCTCGACGTCGTTGCGCAGACGCGCCCAAGCTGCAACTGAGTGCTGGATGGCAACGAGGCTCGCTTCGTTGCTCAGCTTCAGGGCCTCATACACTGGGTCCACGAAGTCGGGGTAGGCAAGAACACGTCCAAGTTCGGCTAAGGATGCCTGCAGGGAAATGGCATCAGACGTCATCTTTGGAATGTTGGGGGTCGTGCCGCCTGGCAGCTGCGCTTGGGATTCTGGCCGTGTCTTCGACAGAGCATCGTTGACGATGCAGGGCACTTCCATCAAGCTCGGGTAGAAATTCTGCTCGCTGAGATCCACCAGACGGCCTAGGCTCATGAGGACGACCTGCATGTCGTCATCTTCAACATTGCCGCACACATTCCTGGCGAACTTCTCCCAGCTATAGTAGTTCGCCATCACCTCAGCAAGGACATCAGATTGTACCTCAGGGCGGGCAGCGCTTACAAAACCGAGTGCTGACATGTCAGAGGTGTATCGATGTTGCTAGTACGAATCGACTTTCCACACCTATTCTACATGCCCCGACCCGAATCCCGTGACGCACCTTGTAGTAGGCATTCCGAAGTTGACTCAGCCGTGTGTTGTCGCTGCTGACGATGACCGCCAGGTAGTCCATGATCACCTGTGTGTCCAGCATCGTGCGGAAACGACCCATAGCTTGCCACACCACCCTGTCACGCATCAACAGCTTGGAGTCCTTGAAAGCCTTGTGCAACTTGTCCCTGTCAACGAACCCGACCAACCTCCCGATGGACATCACGTCCGCACCCAACCGCTCAAGCTGCATCCACGCCTCGTGTGCATAAGCCACCGCGGTCTGTCCCGCTTGCAAACTTTTGATCAGGTCGTCGCGTACCACCGTCAGCAAGCGCTCGCTTTTATTGCAAGCAGTTATGCGCTGAAGCGCAATGTGCAGCTCGGGCGACAGGCTCATGCCGCGCGCCTGCTGATTCCCAAACTGGCTTCCACACAGAGTTCACGACCGGCCGCGCCGATGGCACGAGAGGCTCTGAAAACTACCCCTGTATCCTACGCAATATGCGATACGGTCACTGCATTAACTGTATCAACTTTTCTTTGGAAGCTCCAACTGTGATTTTCGAAATCGGCACCAGAGTCTGTGTCACGGAAGATTCGAGCAAGACGCCACGTACTGACTAAGACAAAACTACGAGTTTATGCTAATCCTAGCAAACAGCATCACGACCAGAACAGGATCAACTGTCATGATGCG